AAATTTTTAAAAACTTTTAAAAAAAGGAAAAAAAAGAAAAAAAAAAAAAAAAAAAAAAAAAAAAAAACCAAACAATAAAGCAACCAAACATGCAACATTATTAGTGAGATAGCTTTCTGAAAAACAAAATGACCCAAATATTTTCAAAAAGATTTGTGGGTGTAAGGACTGGTATTTGTTAATAATAATAATAATAATAATAATAATAATAATAATAATAATAATAATAATAATATGTTGTTGTGAGTTGTGCTGTAATATACTATTTATCACCTTTTAGAGCAGCAGTCCTGTGACCTAAATAGGAGTAAGTAAAAATGAAGCACAGCTTTTCCTCCTCCTCCCATGGCTAAAATTAGAAACATGAATGCGCCTGCAGCAATAGCAAATTCAGAAATCCATATAAATTTAAAATGAGAGTCTTTTCAAGACAAATATGACCTACTTCACCACAGTGCACCAGTCAGGAAAATGCAGGAATAGGCAAGCAAGTCCTCTTTATATGACAGAGAAATAAGACAATACAGATTTGTTGTTTTATAAAATGGGTAGCACAGGTTTGAGTGGACCTCACACTAATTTAGACTGCTGTTTGGTTGTTGATATGACCTGAAGGCTGTTTAATGTTTCATATTTAATTAATTAAAATTACTTTGCGATTTAGATATGAACAAAGATCTGAATTTAAAGATGTTACTAGTTTGTACTTTATGTTAATGAAATAAAAATAATGTAGGGAAGAATGAAAAAAAATATTATGAATAGTTTTATATCAAGTAAAAACATATTTTTATTAGAATTGATTTAGAAACAATTTTTTACATTTTTCAGTATAATTAATTGTCAGCTAATATTACATAACCTGATATAAGGTGAAAACAACGTGTTTATCTTTATTAATCTCTATTACATCGATTAAAAACATGACAAGTGAAAGTTTGGCAATGTTTTGTAAGAAGCACACTGGGAAAAAAATGGGAATAAAAGAAGTACAATACTCTATATAAGTTTATTTTTCTTTGCATGTGTATACACTTTATGCATTTTGTTCCATCCATGAAACTAATTTATGAAATTATGCAAAGTATTTTGTGTCACACAAGAAGTCACATTATACTCTTTCAATCAAAATATCGATTGACATTATTCAACCTATAGCAGTGGTCCCCAACCTTTTTATTACCACGGACCGGGGGGAGGAAGGTGGGCCTTCTGTATATTGGTGTTCCCGCTAAATCCTGAATATACCCAATTTGGGTTGTCTTGGCCTTTTTATCGCAGCCTGTGGGGTTTTCCCTGACTGGGAACGAGAATACAACCTGCTGAATGTGACAGGTAGCCAATCAGAAAGCGCGGTGACGTCAGAACAGAGGGAATCCCAAACAGCTCACATATCGCGCAACTGTGAGTCCGGTGGATATCGGAGATGATATGTGGAAATGTTTATTATTATATGTAAAGGTCCTTATTATATATGTTTATTATGTTTATTCAGTTAAAAATGTTAACTATGAAAAAAACATAGTCGCCTCCAAATGGAGCGGCTGCTCCCGCTGTCTTTTATCCACCGCCTTTTCTTTTTGTTACGTCTTTTATCTCTTAAAATGACTCCACAAACTATCACTATTGAACTACATCGTCATCCGTGTTTGGTTATTCTAAATTCTCGCTATGTTGGGGGTTTTGTGGATTTTCTTCTGGAATCGCGATGTTCGTGACTGGAATCGGTTCGTGCTGCTCCTGCCGTGAGAGACGAACCGATCGAACCTGTTGTACTTTTATCAGCTCTGTGGTCACAAAGGTTTGGAGAATTGGCCAACAATTCATAAATCTTGCCGTCTAAACCAGACTTAAGACTCACAGCTCTACTCATCTCCTCTCGCCCAAACGCTCTCTGACTCTGGTCGCTATGTTAACATTTACATATCCCTTCAAAGTAAGATACAGATGCGCCACAAAAACGAACATTTTACTTTCGTGAAAATTGTAACTCACGATAATGACTAACGTGAGCCCTGAGCTTGTTTCTCTGCAACGAGACGGTCCCATCTGGGAGTGATGGACAATAACACCCGAAGTGTTGCTTATATCCACAGCCTGCTGGGTCTCTAGTGCGAAGCAGTTTGAAGCTTCATTGCCTCATTAGCAGCCGGTCGCCGCATATTACGCAGAGCGGCTTGTAAAGTGGGACTCACCTACCGGTCCGGGATAAATCCATCCTCCTGTCTCTTCTCTGGTCCTTTTCCCTTTGCAAAGAAACTTTCCAAAGACATCTGATCCGTTTCTTACTCATTTTGCTCCTTAGTGAGCTCAGCGTTGGAGCGCAAGTAACCGAAAGAATCCGGTTAAAGGATTTTCAAAATAAAAGATCCTCAAGACTCAAATAATACATAAAACGGAAATATTTAATTATTTCTTGCGCGGCCCGGTACCAATTGGTCCACATAGCGGTACCGGTGCACGGACCGGGGGTTGGGGACCACTGACCTATAGTGTCTACCAAGTCACAAATGTAAATACGTGGAACAGCTCCTACACAGTAAATGTTTTAAAAGCACAGCAGAATAGTTACTATTGGACATTAAGTCAACTACATCATACTTAAACATAAATCATGCCCTCTGTATAAAGCAAAATTAAACAAAAAAAAGAAAGGCTGCAAAATTAATCAACATTGCCCCTGAGTATAATTGAAATTTATAGAAGTTGATGCTCTGAAAATAACTTATATAAATAATCTAAATTATTTATTTATTTTTTATATAGTTTGACAAAGAAAACTTGATGTACAACAATTAAACATTTAACTGCCTGCTGAAAGCAGCAAATAAAAAATATCTATTATTTGGAATATATCAAAGGAAAGGACTATCAAGCTTTAAATTACTTTCAGTGATTAAACCCACGTTGTTTTAAAATCATGTAAAAAATCGGCGAACATGTTCATGCAAATTTATCAAAGAAAAAAAGTACAAAACAAACAAAAAAGTGTTTTACACATATGTTAAGTAGTCACAAGTGAAATTCAGAGGACAATATATCCCAATGCAATCTGTGATGCAGTATCGACAGGCTCACATTGTTTATTCACTTATTTATTTGTTTGGCTGCTTATTCATTTAAATAAATTTTATGAATGGCATGCTCCAAAATTGCCTGAAGAATACTATACAGGTAAACAGATTCACATCACAACCCATAAAAACATTGTACTGTTACTTAATCTTGGATGGGGATGCATAAACTGTAAAAAATAAAAATAAAACTTTTTTTTTCATTATAGTGACAGACAACTCCAACACTAACATAAGTTATGAGACTTCAGTTACCATTGCTGAAAGTGACTATGAGCTACTTGTTGCTGGTGGCAACACATGTTGTGGAAAACAAAATACTGATTGCCAACCATATTGAAATTAAAATAGATATCCAAAAAATATATATGCAGCCCTATATTGATATTTACTATTCTGATAACCAATCAGTAACAGTAACAAAGCTTTTCACATTATTGGCAAGCTCTTGTTTTTATTGGCTTATGTTCCGATTGTTTTCCTTTTTTTGGCAAGTTATGACATGATCAGATGTTATTACATCATTGGTTGCTAATGTGGACCTTTAATCAAAAATCATTAAGAATGTAAACTACTCATATTATTGAGTGGCAACACTTCCCAAAAACATCTGCACCTTTTAAATAGATAAACTGTTTTTGGACCAAAGAAGCATTAAAAAAAAAAAATCTCAGATTGCAAATTACACATTGTATTAACTACAATAATTTAGGACAATGAGCAAACAAGTAAAGCTTAATTGGAAGTGTTAAAAAATAAAATAAAAGCAAAGTGGGGAGCCGCGTGGTTGTATTTTGAATTGGGCCCCATAAAGATTAAATCCGCATCTGGTAAAAAAAAAAAAAAAAACAACAAAAACGAATACATTTGTCAGAAGTTGCGGGTACATTTACCCCAAACGGCTTAATGATCTACTGATTTTCATTTTATAACATAACAAGGATGCGTTGGCCCTGCTCTGACCTTCAAACTGGGCCTCTCTGTGCTCAGGCGCCTCAGAGTGTTCTTTTGATATGCTGCGCTTCTTTTCTTAAGCGTGTCAGTGTCTGTATTTGATCCGAAACGAAAATCGCCTCTCCACGAGCCCGTGGTCATAAAAGGGTCGTATCTGTCGTCTCTCAGCAAGGTTCCACATCGGCTAAAATCAGTAAGTGTAGAGGTGCAGTATGTCGAGGGGAAAACGGGGAGACTGCTTGTATTTGAACGATATACATAGCTGCGCCGACAGAGATTAAAATAAAACACGCCACTGATCAACAAGATTAAAAGAAATGAAACGGTCGATAAAGCGATTATTAAATACAGCGTTAAGTTATCGTTATCATTGCCCTTTGTCTCTTCAACAAACTCATAAAGTTCGCTTAAGACAGGAAGCCCGTCGCTGAGCCTTATGCTGACTGTCGCGGTGGCGGAAAGTGATTCGCGCCCGTTATCAGTTACCAAAACCACAATGGCGTGTTTGGTTTCGTCTTCGTCCGTAAAGGTCCGAAGAGTTCTGATTTCACCTGTGTGCAGATCTGCCATAAACAAATTGGACCGCGTTGCTTTGATTATTCTGTAAGAGAGCCACGCGTTGTGGCCGCTATCCGGGTCAACAGCCACCACCTTAGTAATCAGGTAGCCTTTAGGCGCTTCAATTGGAACCACATCTTCAGCGATGAACCCCGAGGTTTGGACGGGGTACAGGATAACAGGTGCGTTGTCATTTTGGTCTTGAATATAAACGTTTACAGTGCATGTGGTGGAAAACGCAGGGTCACCTCCATCTCGAGCTGCCACCTTCATTTGGAAGTGGGCAGACTGTTCATAATCAAATAAACGTGATGTGAAGAGCTCCCCCGTGTCTGGGTTAATGGTGAGAAAAGACGAAACTTCCGAATTTGTCTCTCTCGATATGTGGTAAAGTATTTTAGCATTCGTCCCATCATCGCTGTCCTGCGCTTCAAGTTTCATCACGAGTGTGCCCATCGGCTGGTTTTCTAAAATGTTGACATTGTATTGGGAGTGCGTAAATGTCGGTGGGTTATCGTTGACATCATTTACCAATATAGTTATAACTTTTACGCTTGAGAGAGAGGGAGAACCAGAATCGGTGGCGGTGACTGTGATGTTGTACTCTGACTGGAGTTCTCTGTCCAGCACTCCGTCGGTCACTAGCATGTAATAGTTTTTGACCTCAGAAAATATTTTAAATGGAACATTGTCTGGAATTGAACAAGTGACGCGCCCACTGCTGCCAGTGTCTAGGTCATAAATATTAATCAGGGCAACCATAGTTCCTACTTTTGCGTCCTCGGCTACGTTAGCAGACGCTGACTTTATTTCTATCACTGGCTCATTATCATTCAAGTCAATTACATCAATTACAAGTTTACAGTGCGAGGCCTGACCGCCGCCATCTTTGGCTTGGACTCCCAGCTCGTGCGAGCTCGCTTCCTCATAGTCAATAACACCTGCCACCCGAACTTCTCCGGTCAAAGGGCTGACTTCAATAAGCCCTCCCATCTTGTCGGACAGGTGACTGAGGGAGTAAGTTATTTCTCCATAGATGCCCTCATCTAAGTCCGTGGCATTCAAAGTTGTTATCAGAGTCCCTATGACGGAGTTCTCTGGCACAGATGCTTTGTAAACGTTTTGGCTAAACACCGGGACATTGTCATTGACGTCCAAAACATTAATATGGATGAAGGCAGTTCCTGATCTGACTGGTTTCCCACCGTCAATTCCATTGATCTCCAGTACATGTTCGGCTTTGGCTTCCCGATCCAACTGCCTTTTAAGGACTAATTCCGGATAAGTATTACCATTTATCTGGGTGCTCATTTCTAGAGAAAAGTGATCGTTGTGGCTCAGCTTGTATTCACGGATCGAGTTCGTGCCTAAATCGGGATCATGCGCGCTCTCCAAAGGAAAGCGCCTCCCCAGAACTGTGGATTCGACTAAGTCTAGTTTTACGTTCCCTGTGGCAAACACTGGACTGTTGTCATTTATGTCTGCGACGTCCAAGACTAAGCTGAACGCTTGAAGCGGATCTTCCAGTAAAAGCTGAAACTGTAGAATGCAGATGCTGGCTTGTGCACACAACTCCTCTCGATCTATTCGTTGGCTGACCAAAAGATTTCCGGAGGCGGTGTCCAGTTCACAGAGCTGGCTGGTTCCTTCAGCAACAACGCGAGCTCGACGTGCTTGAAGCTCCGACGCCTGCAGCCCGAGATCCAACGCAACGTTTCCGATTACCGAACCCCTCTTCATCTCCTCTGGAAGAACATAACGGACTTCTCCATATGAAACACCGAAAACGAGAGCGCAGACGAAAAAAGAAATCCGCCATTTAAAGCTGATGTGAAGATCCATCATACACCATGCCTTAGCAAAAGGATGCGCAGTCGACATTTTATTAAAATCCTCTAAAATGTCATAGAGCTGCAAACGCTGCTGTAATCCAACAGCTCTGGATTTCTCTTGCCGACTTAATCATGCTCTATTAGGGATGCTGTCGGCTTGTGTTCCGCCCTCTCTGTTCCCGTTTCAACTACTTCTTTCTCTCTATCTCTCTCTCTCTGACTCATTCAGTCCCACTGGCACACAGCCGCGCTCTCCTCTTCTCCATCATGCACACAGGCACAAATGCGCATCCATGCACAACACCCCTCAACCCATTGCTCTAGTTCCACTGACACAGATTGGAGGAGACACAAACAGCCATGACTCAGGCTTTATAGAAGAGCGCCATCAAGAGAGGGAAACGATTGTTGCATCTGTTTCTTTTTTTTTCTTTCTATTTTTCAATACGACAGGGTTTCAGGTTTTCCAAGTAATATTAAATAAGCAGTTGATGAAAAAAATGAAACCAGCATGTACCAGAAAGGACAAAAAGTAAATAAATAAAAAATTACTTTAGACCCCTGGAAGGATAATGTAGTATGTGACCCTATCACACCTTGGTATAACATATTTCACAAGACTTATGTTTGTAACATCACTAGTGTTGGGTCAAATTAAATATCTCAAATACTGATGAAGAGAACTCACCACAAGTTCATATTACTACAATTTCACTGAACTTCAAACATCCCTCTTCTTCAAAGTGCTACTATCCATTTTATTTCTGCTTGTTAAGAATGATGCAACACTATGCATAAAATCTATAAACTAACTCAAAAACCTTCTTCCAGTGAGTCAGTTATTTTGCATGAACCATGTAAGAATTTCCTACGAATCTGCATCGCCTTTCAATTGTATAGGCAAATAACTTAATGAATATTAAATGATTCTCCACAGAGTAAAACACACAACAAAACTGTGAAAGAGTAAAGTGAAACTGCTGGTGCTGTTCACCACCTCCTGTACATATTGTAAAATAAAAGATAATCAAAATAAAAAGGTTAATTTTTCCAAAACATTAACAAGACAATCATTGTATTTTGAAGATTGTGTAAATTTCGAAAGTGCAGTGCCTTGTAAGTTATCAACTTTTTCAACTTATATTTAGAAATAAATTATATATTTTTAAATGGAGAACATTTAGTTTCTTGAATTAAAATATTTTCTGGAAAAAAAATGATTTGCTTGTCATATGGGTATTTCACAAGGGTATTTCCTGAAAAGCAAATATGAAAATGACTGTAAAAATTTAATCTTTTTGAACATTTCTTGCATATTGTCAGTTGGTAAACAAATTGACATAGAAAGAATTAAAATCATATTAAGTCTGGTTCTCTTACTTTATCAAAAGCTATGGAACTTAGTCCTAATTCTTTTATCAAAAGGATGAGGGAAAATAAATATTTCTTAAATCAAAAGGATATATTCACAAACACATAATGCATTTTAGATAAGCTATAACAGTTCAGTATTTGCTAGACATATTTCGAGATATTCTAGGATAACAATTCTATCATTTTTTTTTAAATAAACAGAACTTCAGATGGAGAATTGACATTAGCAATGTGTATTTCATCATTAATCATGTAGAAATGAGAGTACTGATCAAATAAAAAAATATATATTTT